AATAAATTAAAAAAATTATATAAAAATAAGAACTTTTAAATAGTTGATTTGATATTAACATTGATATATATATTTTTTAAATTTTTTTGATATCTTCAAATTTATATTTTATTCAAAAATAAAATTATTAGTGTTTTTTTTAAACACATAAAATCGTATTATAACATCGACTGAGACAAATAATAAAATAAAATATTAAAATCGAGATATATCTCGTTGCATTGCACGAATACTATTCTAGTGTTCATTAATTTATCAAATATTATTCTTAATAAAAAAAACATATAATATAAATACTTTTAAGATAAAAGTTTAAATCCCTAGACTCATATATATTAATTATACACACATGGCGTCGTTGTGGGGACGTGAGGTGAAAAAGGGCAAGAAAGGAGATGGCCCCTTTTTTCTTTTTTGTTACAATTTTCGGAATATTATATAATGGTTTTTTTTATAAGAACATGAAATAGAAGTAGATGACAAAAGTAGCACGAAAACATGGAAAAAAGGCTATCATTCCAAAACAAGATAAGAAAATAAATGATCTTTCATTATCATAATTCAAGTAATAAGCCTCGGATTCCATCTATTGAACAGGACCTTAGATGTCATGCATTAGGTGTATTCAAAAACCCGACAAACCCAATCAAATACGGCCAACCCACTCCAGCCTCATGCGAAGTAACCTAACTCGAAACAACCTAATGTCTAATTGAGTTGTAAGTATTTTAAACCATAGGTACTATGTTGGAATTGAGTTACGATTATCTGAACCTAATCCAACCCAATTAACCCTATATCTTTTTTATTCCTTAGATTTAAAATAATTGTTAAGTCCTTATTATTATGTATATTATATATACAATTATAAGTTAAGATTTTTAAAATCACAAACATTAAATTGAATTCTTTCAAATGTCAATCAACTTAAAAAAACCAACCCATGAGCAGCTATTCGTAAACATCTACACACTCATGATTACTACATGAAGGGAAAATCAGATGCATTTTGTATAAACTTTTAAAAAAATACTCTAAAGAAGGAATGACGTGTAATTCATTCGTTGGTTTACTGATTATAGTTTTGTAGGATCTAAGGACGAATATGATACCCACAAAGTTACAAATGCATGTAAAACTCTTACAAGTAACAACCCCTTAAAAAGGGTTTTGCATTAGCCCGATGAACAAACTTGAGCAATCAGTCCGTTATAGTTCAATAAATCTCAGTAGGACCAAAAAAAAGTTGATAAAATTATAGAACGTTTACGAATGATATTATTATCCACGTATAAAACAAACCCTTCAATAGAAATGTCAAAAGGTATGGGAAAACGGTTATTTGGTACAGGTACATTTTATAATCAATAATTGTTTTAATTTAATCATAAAACAAGTAAATAATGTTAGAATATTTGAAACCGTCTTGAATATTTCTCTAATAAAACAGATATATACAGATTTTGATGGCTTATTTCTAGCCAATGTGAGACTTCAACAAATACAGTTATATATCGTACCATTCAAATCTAGTCTCTAGACCGAGTTAAGGTTAAAATCTTAACTATATATGCTATGAAATTACAAATAAATATTATGAGATCAATGTTTAAACTTCATCAAAAGAAGAAGAATCACGAATCGTGAATATATCAGTAGATATTTGGTTTCGAATTAACAGATTTACTCAAAACAACTTGGTTATTTCATTACCAAACCAAAAAATTTAAGGAAATCAGATACAATTAAACATAATTATTTTATTCAGTTTAAAATGAAAATGAAGATATATGATCGTTACATATTTTCTATTCAATATCTAATAAGGTGTCCATGCAATGTCGAGGTGTGCATCTAGATTTAAAACCGAGAACTTAAAATGTCAATCATTTTTTATTTTTGTTTATTTTTTTGTCCATCCTGATACTAGTTGTATACCTGTACAATGTAGCTGAGTGTAAATTTTAAATAGATGTAAGTTAGAATACCTAGTATAGATTTGTATACCTTATTTTTTTCAATAGTAACCAGTATACATGTTTATTAACATACTATAGATATAGATATTATAGATT